AACCTTGTAAATTGTTGTGTGTGTGTGTTTCTTTCTGTTCTTTCCCCAGTAAGACTGTGGAGTGCAATCATTCTCAACGTCTCTTACAAAAGGAGGCGGAGGACTCCAACAACACCTGCGCACTAATGGCTGCCTCCATAAACTGTGTGTCAGGTACATCCAATAGAAACATGCCAGATAGGAGAAATCAACTATTTAAATAAATTGTGACGTGAAGACTGACGACATCCAGACGTGTACAGTGGTGTTAGACCTGTTCGTTAGCTGATTGATCGTTTGCCCCATTTTTGTCCCATTAGGGGAAGTGGTGGCGCAGAGGTTAGAGAAGGTGGGCCTGTGATTGGAAGATCGCCGGTTCAAGCCCTGGTACAGACGATATCAAAAATGTGGGTGGGGTAGGTGAAGCACCCACACCTGCCCCCACCCCCAGTGGCCCCACTCTGGGCCCATGAGCAAGGCCCTTAACCACCATGTGCTCCCTAAACAGGTCTCTCTTGAAAATGAGTTCTCGTGGCTCAATGAGACTACCTGGATAAATAAAGGATAAAAAAAATAAAAAAATTTTTGCTCATTGATCCAAAGTTTTTATTTAATCGTGAAGCTACTAAAATCATTTTGCCATGAAAGATAAATCAATTAACTTGAAAAATGAAACTATGAAGTCAAAGAAGTAGAAACGGTTGTGAGTCCATGTGCCAGTTTTTACAAATATGTTGATATTGGTGACATTTATTTTATAAGAAATGTTTTCTTGTTTTCTGAACTTTTTTGGTAAAAAACAAAAAAACAAATGCTGAACATACATTACCTACATAAGTAGGAGCCTTAACTTTTCACAGCTCAGATTACCAGTATGAATACATCAAAAATACACAGTGCAATCCAGTGGCTCAGATCTCTGGAGCTGCATAAACCTACATTGTTTTGTATACACACCGTTGTGATGGCCCACTTTCAAAGATGGCCCACTCAGCCAACAGCATTCCTCCTTCTCCTGACTTTAAACATCACATTTTGCAATCTCGTCTCAGATGCACGAACAGCACAAAGTTCTTGGAAATATGTGTAAAACAAAGAAAACAAACATAAAAAGGTACGTCATAGTGAGTGACTGTGGCCTTCGTCTTAACTCACGGCAGTTCTTGAGATAAAATGCATGGGTGGAAGTAGATTTGCAAAGCTGGACCAGTGCAGGATTCAGACCCATGTGAAGATGCATATTTATACATATCAGGATTGATATTCATGGTTATGTAAAGATAAGTAAATGTATCTCTGATTAACAGCAAACAGAGTTGCTAACTGTGACTACTGTCTACAAACTGTGTACTGTCTAATGTACAAAAACTGATAGCCTCATTAACCACGTTCAATCATTTATGACTACTGCTTTTGTGTTTTGGAAACAATTAACACTAAATATATCATTAATAATCATTTTAAAGTTAATTAGATTTCTGTAAATCATCTTATCCCAACCCCAGCTGCCGTTCTGCTTGAAGACTCGTGTGCTCTGGTTTTGCTTTGCAGCTATAGGATACAGTGACTTTACATATTGAGTTGAGTGTGGTCGTGGTAGCTCAGTGGTCAGTAATCTTGAGCTGCAGGTTAGAGCATCTGTAAAAAAAAAAAGCCAAACTTTTTTGCAAGTTCGTTCACTGTGATGATCCCAACACAAGGGAGCAGCTGAAAGAAAAACAACTGTTATTTTGCTGACAACAAAGTCAGCTGTCTACTTTGGACCTTTTTACAGACACCAGTGTACATGCGTAAAGTCAAGCACCCCATGCCCCGGTACATTCATAGCTACTTCCGTTAGCTACAGTAGATTTTATTGGTAGAATACCATCCATCCATCCTTCCATCCATCCATCCATCCATCCATCCATCCATCCATCCATTATCTTTACCTGCTTCTTCTTTTTTGGGTCTCAGGATCATGGTGTCCATGTCCATCAATCACTGTGCGAGAGGCGGGGGACACCCTGGACAGGTCTCCAGTCCATCACAAGGACACAAACAACCATTCACTCTCTCACTCACACCTAGGGACAATTTAGAGTTACCAATCAGTCTAACATGCATGTTTTTGGTCTGTGGGAGGAAACTGGAGTACCTGGAGAAAACCCACCCATGCACAGAGAGAACATTCAAACTCCACCCAGGCCCCCGGGTCGGGACTTGAACCATGGTAACTTGTTCACTGAGAAGCAGCAGTACTACCAGTTGCGCCACCGTGCTGCCCTGGTAGAATACCAACTGTTGTTAAAAGATAAAACATCAAACTTAAGAATATTTTCCAAAATAATTTTGTAAAGAAGGCCGTAACCAATGATAGTAAGAAAATGCCAAAACAACAAATAAAAATTATTTAGATGTCAAAAAAAACTGTACGGATATATCTAGACCACAATGCATCACAAAACATTGACTTTGAGCATGTAGTATTCAAACCGTAGGTAGAGTGTTGGGCTTCAGATTAGAATATCAGGGGGTTTGTCAGCATTACAGATTGTCAAAGTGGCCACTGGAATAGAAAAACATCAGAATGGCTGACCACATCGCAGTCTATGTGATTAAAGGACAATTTCTCACCAATTTGCTAAAGGTGCTATGTGATGTTAGATGATAGAAAGACAGGCAGATGGATGGACGGACGGATGGACGGATGGATGGACGGAAATTTGAGGCATCCAGTAGCATGTTCTAGTTATACAGAAAATAGATACATGTGAAATCATCAAAAAAGAGGCAGAATACTCTACATAAATTTGGGAAAAATCAATATGCACATGCACAAGGTGGTAGGGAGCACTACAATCATGATTAACCTACAAATATATATATATATATATATATATACATATATATATTACATGTATACATACATACACATCTAAGCATACATATACATGTATATATACATGTATATAAACATACATACACATACATAAGTGTCCGAGGTACTGCAGATTTACAAGGCTCTACTTTTACTGTACGGGGGGGGGGGGGGGGGCAGTATAGTGCCAGAATAGCAACAGACCATAAATATGAGGTCAAAAACCTAAACTTGGCTGCGAACCCCAATTATTTGCCTTCTGTCGTTGTAACTATCAGAACCTGCACTTCAAAGAACATCACATTTTATTCAGCGCAGACTTTTAGCCCACGAGTCCATAAATCATTGAAAATGTGAACTTGTCAGTTTTCGTTCAGTGCGTATGCTCCTGCTGGCAGTTAAAAATTAAACCATATCGTTGCTACAGTCATCAGTATAAATACTTCTATAATCATGATGAAAGACTACACAATACAGTATAAGTTTAAGTTATTAGTCTAAGCACAAGTCACTATAAACACTAGCAACAGAGCTTTAGAGAGACTAAGTAAATGTACTAGTTTGCCTAGAATGATTACAGCAATTGGCAATTTTATCACAGTAGTGGGAGTTTTTCAGGTCAGCATTTTGCCGCTGCTAATATTTACTGGGCTTGGTGGGAGGCTCATTACAGAATACTCTTGTCCACTCTTTTAATAACATGGATTATATAATAAGGCTATTTTATGTGTTTTAGGACAGATGACACAGCATGCCCAACAACGTGTTGCATCGTCATGTAAACAGTACACAATATAACACATAGCACTTAGTGAGATATGGTTAATAGTGTATTAGTTGGAATAAAACATGCTGCAAGTAGAGTGCAAATATGAAGTGGTGTAAGAGTTTTTATATGTAAATATGCTCCACACCAAGGTATTCTAAAGTCAAAAGTGAGAGCCTGAAAGCTGAAGCTTGGCTGGAACTGGGTTATGCAACAGAACGATGATCCCCAAGCGCAGCTGCAAAACAACAACAGAACGGTTAAAAAAGGATGTTCAGCAATGGCTCACTTCAAGCCTCAATCTGAATAAAAGGTGTGATTGGGATCATAAGACAGCTGTAAACAGATGACTTCACCTGAACCTAAAACTAAAACTGTAGAGCAAAGTGAACTAAAGCTTCTTGGCAGTGATCTGAGAGTGATACGGCCGTGCAGAAGAGGGTGATGCTACTTATGGGCTGTTTGTTAGTCTTGGTGTGAGTCTGTAACGTGTCTGAAACATGGATGTGATCTAGAATGACAGCTGTCACTGCTGGTTTCAGACCAGCTCAGGCTCAGTTTCTCATTAACACCAGTCCTGGCTGAGTGTAAACACACTCAAGCACATGCTTCAGTGCGAGGTCACTTCCGTTGCTACCAAAGCTGCACAAGTGCACCCTGGAGGGTTTGAGTCAGCGAGCCTGCTGTCAGCGTTACAGCTGTATTTTACATTTACCCCCGCTTTCTCAGCATGCGCACCCAGGAGCTTGCACATAAACACACGTTCAGTATGAATCCCACTCACGCACTTCATGTTGGACACACATACACATCGTGGACAACATCCAAATGTTACCGTTCATCCCCGCCTCCCAAATTTTTGGAACAGCGCTGCTCATTGTGCGTCCACCTCCCCCCCACCGCTGCCCACCAGGACACTTTCTTTCTGCTCACGCCCTCTGCTCCTCGAGTGCAGCAGGAGCCAGGTCTCCATGGTAACCCTGTTACAAAATGTCAGAGCGCTCTTTGGGCCCTTTGTGCTGAGCGATCCGCCCGTCATCCGCACATGCTCCTCAGCAGATACACAGCCAGCTGCTGACCCAGCTGCCAGTTAGTTTCTATTACTTGAAGATCAAGGTGACAACTCTTTGGTTTGAGGAGAAAAACATATTTTAGGGAAGACACAAATGATAGAACAGCCAGTTTTATGAATATTGAGCTAAGTGGTGTTCAGTGCAGCTCCTCCTCAACAAATAACCCTCTGATTATGTGAATTTGTTTGAACCTTTGCCAATAGCTACTGGACTCAACTGTTTGTCTGTCACTATATTTTGTGAGCCACTGGGCAGATTTTAACCAAACACTCAAAAAGTAACCATTGAAAGTCCTTCTACAACTTTTCAGTCAACCAAATTTGAAGTGGTCAATCTTAGCAAACACAAAAATGCCTCTGCAGCTGCTGACGTTTACAGATACTGAGTTAAAGTTTGGTTTGGTAGTAGATGAGCATCATCCCCGACACATACTCTGAGCTCAAACTGACCGTGAGAGGTCTTTGTAGAAAAATTATGCATGCTAAGGTGATATCCGCTCCGTCAACGAATGCTGGTTTTATTTTCTTGTAAGGTTTTCCAAACTAGTCCTTACACAGACACTATGCTAATATTCTTTGTGGTGATGTCATTGTGTAAACACAGAAGGCCTGGACTACAAATGAGGCGTTCAGGAAGTTCAGCAGCTGTTGTATGTTGAATAAAATAGCTCATATTAGTGTGAACTTGGTCATTTACAAACTTGAATTAGTGAGACAAAGGAGCATTAAAGGCCAGTCTCATGAGACTGAGTCCAGCTTCATGAAGAATCCTCTACTGGGGATCTTTGCTGCACTACGTGTGATTATAGAACCCATTTCATTCAACTGTTTTCCAGGTTATTCTGTTTGTTCCATGCAAACCCAGCTCTTCCCGGTGTAGTCACGCGTGTGTCGATGTGTGTGTCCGCAGAGCGTGTCAGCAGCGGCCGCCTGGTTGGAACCTTCCTGAGCGTGTGCGCCCTCACCGTGCTGTGCGGCCTGGTGGTGGTGGCCGTGTCACGGCTGCTGATGCAGAAGAGGCTGCGGTCACCGGGGGGTGCCAGTGGGGATCGAGGCCACCACTTCCCTGGAAAGGTGAGCTCTCAGATGTTCTGGGCAGCAGAGGGACTTTAACTCAGGGCTGGTTTGGTGTCACCAGACTTCTGAAAAGCGAGAAGAAGACCTTTGTTCTTAAAGATACAAACACTAAAACAAGGAGGGAGACATCTAAGTGTGGAGGGGCACAGCTGTTCATTACATTTCCTCCTAACTCCCAGCTCACCTTCTACAGTCTCCAGATTTTTGACCTCACGTTGATTCACAGCACCTTTGAGAAGAAGGTGGACATTTGTGAATACAGGAGGAACGCCTCATCAGGACGTACGCATTTCTTTTGCATAACTTATTTAAATAGATTATGACACAAATGCAAACAGAGTTATATTTTTTAACATGTTTTTTTATCTTTACTTCATTTTGGGGGAGATAAAGTCTCACTTGGTTTAAAAATCCTTTTAATATTTCAGACTCAATAGTATCAGCAGAGGGTGGTTAACAAAAACTTACATAATGTCCGTTCATTGTCTTCTTCCCGCTTTTCCTTTCAGAGTCACAGGGAATAGATGCGAGTAACGGTTTGCACAAAGACATTTTCTTTTTTTCTGATTCTGGGAAAGTGGGCGCGAAAAGAGCAAGACTCCCCTAAAACTAAAGCATCCCTAATTGGACTCAGAGCTGAACATGTCAAAACTAATTATGTGTAAATGATTCAAGCTCATACAAAAGGGAGTGATTCTGCTCAGCAGAGAAGTATGTTTGTGAAGATTCCCACGTTCCCTCCCTGTTCATCCGTGCAACCTTGCAAAATCAAACCTCCCTGCACGCTCGCCACGTGTGAGATCAAGGTTTTGGAGACAGAAGGAGCCTTTCAGGAATATGCTGCATCATGCATTAGCTCGGAGAGTGCATGTGTGTGTGTGTGTGTGTGCAGTCATTGCTGACGCAGCATCTCTGTTGCCCTTTAGGATCTGTCCTACGTTCCTACAACCAATGAGAAAACGGTCACCTACAGGCGGGACCGGGCCCCGGACCACCCCGTGGAGATGCACATACAGGTTCCTAAGATGCCCCTGGAAGACTCGTGGCAGTTCTGAGCTGGAAAGCAGCAGAGACACACAGAGGAAGAAGAGCTGGACGTCTTTTCTGCTTCTTCAAGAATCTTCAGCAAAGTGCCGGTGGAGACGGTGGAGACGGTGGAGACGGTGGAGACGGTGGAGACGGTAACGACGATGAACTATGTGAAACCTCCACGGAGTGACGTTTGTTACATCAGCCGACTGAGCTGTAACAGCTCGAGACGACAACGGCCAGTATGAATCATGGAAGAGCACAAGTTCCCTCATCTCTTATTTTATACTTTTATTTGATGTTTGAACATTTGTTGCTTCAACTGCTTTAACTTATGGGTGTGTGTGTGTGTGTGTGTGTGTGTTCAGGGATGTTCTCTATTTATGAGTTTTATGGGGAAACACTACAAGGTAGAGGCATGAGATGCACTAACTGCACTGTCTCCCTGTCTTAGTCTGCAGCCATGTGGCCACTGTAAGGTACATGTTGATGTTAAAGTCAGCACAGCAGGCTTGCCTCGACAGGCACTGAATCTCCTTATGTTAATGTTAGAGGCAAAGGTGGGCGATAATGCTTCTGCCTTGCTTGTGTCTGTTATCAGAATATCTCATGAACCAGTGGACAGACTTTAATGAAACTTTTAAAAGCAATGTACTGGATGTTCTTCTACAACTAAATAACTTTTAGAGTCAGTCCAAATCAAGATGGCTGCCACAGCCAACTGAAGGGCTATAAATCAGCCAGTTTTACAGATACTGACCTAAAAATTGTAGGGATGCATAATATTGGATTTTGGCCGATATCCGATATGCCGATATGTTAAACTTATTTGGCCGATAACCGATATCAATACTGATGTTTTTTTTCTAGACCTACTTACAGAGATTACACAGCTTTCTCTGCTGTGGAACTAAAATACATTATTCTACATGCTCTTTGTCAGTTTGGACTGCCACCAAATGCAGATGTTAAAAAGGGGGCTGAAAATGATGTAACACTTGAACTTGAATGATGTTTAATGTCAAATTTATTCATGACATTTATTCTCTAACACAACGACACTCGAACAGTGCACATTTGTAAATTTTCACAAATCTAAACTCAACCTGTTCACAAGCGAAAAGTGTATAAATAGTAGTGCATTAATAGATATACTTGACAGTTTCCTAAATTAAAAATGAACTTAAAACAGAAGTCTTTCATATCGGTTAGGTGTTTTGATGGAATGGCCGATGTCCGATATTTAACTTTATCGCGAATATCAGCCGATATCGATACCAAGCCGATAATATCGTGCATCCCTAAAAAATTGTGGTGGTGGTAGCTGAGAGTGTTTCACAACACACATAATGAGTGAGCACCATATTGTACAAGGCTGCAGTTTCAAGGTTTCGTCAACATTACATGTTCTTAGTTTAAATCTTTTATGTGAAAAGCGGTGGGAGATATGCATTCCTTCAAGGTGTGCTGCGTTTAATTTATTCATGTGTTGCATTATTTGGTGGGTTAAAATGTTTTTTATTGTTATATCATTGCAGTCCTTTTTATTTAAACTGAGTTACTGTCATAATCAAGAACATGTATTTTTTTAACCTGCGTGTATTCAAAGTCTGGTTAAACTTGCACTAGAAAAATTGCAGTATACTACTGAAGACTGTGTGGCAGGAGAGCCGTGACAGAACGTTTCATCTGGGGCATTAAAACGAACGCAACAAATCCACCTGAACACTGGAATAACGTTTCAAATCTGTAGCTTCTACAGAATCTAACCTCAGACACAAAGCTTTATTTTCATGCTCCTGCTGACCTTCAATCAATCCCGACAATTTGAGGATTTAAGGCACAAACCATACCTGAGCGCTGAGGTGAAAGGTCACGCTAAATAACCCTCATGCTGTAGAAGAAATCCAAATCCTGCAACAAAGGGTGTTTTGAGCTCAATCCTGCTCCTCTTTGTGATTTTTGTTCTCAGTTCAGTGTTGATTGCAACACAAACTTTGTTTTTGTTACTGTAGATGGAGACACTAATTATTATTTATTTTAGTTAAGTTGTAGAGGTTTTTAATTATTATTTTTATTCATTGATATTAGTGCTATGTTGTAAAACAGTTAATGGAGTTCCAGGTATAAAGTAGACTGTGGACAGTCTCTGACCTCTAACCAGCAATAAAGTAGCTTTAATAATATCATCTCATCTCACTAGGTACTGAAGTTTCTTCTTAAGTAAGAACAGACAGCACTTTTTTTGTTGTAGTGTGAGTTAATGTGATTGTTTTCAACACAATAAAACGGTACAACACTTTGTTTTCCACATGTTGAGTCTTCAGTTATCTACTTTGACCATGAATTGAAGTCTAAAACTGCTTTTGAAGTACTGTATTTTTCACACTTTAAGTCACAGTTTTTTGCCTAATTTACATGCCCTGCAACTTATACACTGAAACAACGTATTTATGGATTTTTTTCCCATAGTTATAAACCAATTTTTGGCTGAAATATGACCTTTTTCATTCATTCTGACTGAAAATATTGAACACTACCCTTTTCAGCCACTAGATAGCACTCAAGTAGTATGGCATGCCATTGTGTCATGTAATAGGTAAAAAAAAAAAAAAAAAAAAAAATAGAGTGTCTATTAATGGCACAATTGGCTTGCCATATAGGCCACCTTTGTCCAGCTCGCCTGGAGCAACCATCAAATCAGCTTCATTTCACTGCTCAGCGAAATGCAGCTGATTTGACCATTGAAGTGCATTTATTAAGTAAAAGTTCAACTGAGACACACCTTTACTATAAAGTCGAGCAAACAAATAATTGTTTTAGGTGGTTATTTTGTTAAATTTCAAAGAAACGCCCAGCAAGTCGTCCCTCTGCGTGTTCCCGCAGCCGTGAATCAGCTTTTGAACTGCAGCTGATTTGACCATCAAAGTGCATTAAGGCAAAGTTCGACTGAGACACACCTTTGATATAATTTCCAGCAAACAAATAATTGTTTTTAAATGTTAATCTTGTTAAGTTCTTGTTAGAGTCCTCTTACGCACGCTCCCGCGGCTGCCATTTGGCAGCCAATCGATTTTTGGCACAACACCGGCCCACATTTCCAGGTTGTCAGTGGTGACACGTAACAAACGCGACGCATCAGTGGTGACCCACTAAATGCAACTTATACAGTGAAGCGATGTATTTATGGATTTTCCCACTTTATTAGACATATTTAGACTGATGCAACTTATAGGGCGATGTGACGTGTACGGTGGAAAATATGGTACAACCCCAATCCCAGAAAATTGGAGCATTGTGTAAAATTGTGCCAGCTTTGTAGTGATATGTTAAAGTCAAGAGGTCTGTAGGCCACACCTCGTTACAGGTGTGCAATAAAAATAATAAACGCAAGTCAACCTCAATTAAATTAATGGTGGATTCTTGGCAATGTGATCCCCCTCACGTGAATGAAACACACAAAACCTGGTTGGTTAAAATCACAGTTCTGTACTGTTTATTAAGTTTGAATAATAACAACAATATGAAATGATGGCAAGTGTGAAATATGAATGCATAACCAGTAATGTTATTTCAGAAGGGTGAATAATATAAAATAGTTTAAACTTTGAGGAGAGATGTTATCTAAATTTAGGACTAATGTTTCAATATTAAGGTAAGTTTGTGAGGTTCGTGGAGTAAACTAAAAGGTGAATACGACGGTGAAAGGGCCGCTGTTCGTCATCGCAGGAAGTGATGATTCTCTCCAGAGCAACGTTTCATCCGGTAAGACAGCACCATCGTTCCGGGATGTTTGAGAGAGTTCTGTGGACTTTCTCCACGTTTCAGCCGGCTCGGCTCCTTCCAAGATGGAAGATGGAGGGCCCAGAACCCACTGGTTCCTTCAGGCTGGCTCGAAGGAGGCAAAAAGCAGACAACGACGCGCTTGTCTGCTCACGTGGACTCATGTTCCTGCTGCTGTTGTTCGGCATATTGTTTTCGTACTACTAGTGCTTCGAGTATTCTTGGTTTGGCGTGTTTCTTGGTTCATTCATATCTTAGATTGTATGTTTTTCTTTACGGTTTATACTTTTGTTGGATGTAACTGGGACCCTGTGTACACAATTTTGTTCCACCTCATGTACAACATGTGGTGCGAATGACAATAAAGAAACTCTGACTCTGACTCTGAATCTAAACACCTGTGTGAGCATGTTGTCACTATAAGGTTTCTCCATAAAAATGTTCAATGGTGGATGTGGGGACCCACAGACCCGTCCCCACAGGACACGATGGTAACACAGGGAAGACCTCTCATAAACTCATTTAATTCACCATGGAACACGGTAAACAAATCAAATGTTTAAACCTAAAGGCTGGTCCTCTTTTCAAGCAAAAATAAGGACATTTTAAATTTCATGACAGAAACACATCTCAGAAAAGTTGGAAGGAATCTGTGCCCTCTTCTTCTAACAGTCTGTAAACATCTACGAACTGAGGAGAGGTGCTGCTGGAGGTTTTGGAGGGGAACGTTGCCACATTGTCTGGTGTAGGGTTCCAGCTATTCAACAGTCCTGGGTCTTTTTTTTTAAATCATCATTAAATGATGCACCAAAAGTTTTCATTTACTGCAGGCAGGTCAGTTCAGCACATGTTCTTCTATTACCTGCCATGCTGTTGTAATGATGCTGTATACATCAAAGTTCATGCTCAATAATCCAGGTAGACAAGTCCAACAAAGTTAAGTCAGGTCCTGTGGACTTTTTTGTTGTTGTTGATAAACTTTGATATTTAACCGCTTTGACCATGGCTGCCTCAAACAAGTCAGCGGGGGAGAGGGTGGACTCCAGAAACAATCTTAGCACAATCAAACTGGTTGACCCATTATGCTATTTATAAGACTGAGTTTGTTGTGGCTCCTCGGACTGATGAAGTCTTCTGGATGAAAGAAGAAACATTTTAACAAAAAGAAACCGTCCAGAGGACCTGACTTACCTTTGTTGGCTGCAGTATACAGTTTTAACCGTTTTTATGCAAGTCCTTCTTTGAAATGGTCTGAATGGGAGTATATATTGTTCTAAAACCACTGCACTGATTGTGTCTCAACAGATGTGCAAGTTACCCCTATCAGGCACTAATGCACCTCATATCATCATAGAGGCAGGTTTTTGAGCAATGTGCATTTTTAGAATTAAGGAAATTACGTCTGTTTTTTCCAAAAACAATTTCACATTTTAAATTGTATGAGCACAGAAACGT